TTTTTGTGTTTGGTGATGACTTCAAACTCTGAGGTTCCTGAGCATCTCACTGAAAAAGAGCATAACATAACATCAGACGGTCTATTTAGGGGTTAGTCCACTGAAATTTGCTGGGTGTTGTGATGATGCCATTTGTTGCCTAGTTACCCTCGGCAAATCTCTTACATTTGACTTCCTAGGCAAATCATAGAATCTACTAATATTACCATTAAGGGTGGGATCTGGAGGAGCATTCAAGAATGGTTGAGATCTTCCTCTGATATCAGTAAGACTTTTCCTGCTCACTGCAAATATAACACATACATGTCAAAAGTGGCTTTTGGAAAAGTATATATTGCAAATCAAAATTTCCACTGACTTGAGGAACCTTTCCTGAATAAATAGGAGAAATGACTCTGTTGTTGTAAGGCCAGTGGACAGACCTTATTGAGGGTGCCGGGAAGCAGGATGATAAAGAACTGAGGATGTTCTGCTCTTTCAGTCACCAAATCCTCACTAAGTGACTCATTCAGTGTGAATTTTGGCTTAGCCCAATATAGTATTCTTCACAACAGCCAAAACCAGATGATTATAGCAAAATATGAAAATATTTGCTTGTTGAATATTCTCATTTCCAGCAACTTGTAGCTCAAGAACTTCCCAAGCTCTAAGTGGCATCTTTAATAACCCTTGATAGATTTCTCTTCCATGAGTCTAACCAGTGTCTCCTTGACCCCATATAAATTTTTAGCATCCATAACATCCTGGTATGAATAAAACTTAGTCCCTAAATATCTATGACTAATCAATCCTTAAGCAGCTTCATTGCCTTCTGAACTCCCACAGCAGCACTTAATTTGACTATTAATTTAATTTACCATCATCACCTTTCACTGCTAATATTTTTACTCAAAGCAGTGTACCCTACAGATGCTTCTCTAGTACCACAAGCACATGATTTCCCTTCACTTGAATTCTTCATTAGGTTCAATGGATGATATAAATACCAGTAGTATGCAGAAGGCTATAAAGGAAGATCAGTGATATGGTGAGGGCTGAAAAAATTGGATCAGAAGGGTTTAAAGATGAATCAGGGAAGGAATGGGTGCAATACAGAAAGCAACTGAGTGACTTTATCAGTCCTGTTGTTGATGTTGAGATGAATAGTAAGAATATAGATAAAACCTCACAATAAACCTCCTTTCCTTGACTTACAGAGATTTAATCTGTCATGAATGTGTGATCACATCAATCAATAAGAAACGTGGTGATGCACACACACACACACAGACTCAATAATCCTTGGTGACATTAGTGACAGTCACATTTTTAAGTGAAATATCAGTTCTTTCTTGTACTCTATATTAAATCTAACAACCACAGGGATTGGTCATTTACGGTCTCCTTTCATTAGCTAATGCCTTAGGGCCCCATGAGTGTGCTGGATTTTCATGACCTTAAATCACAGGCTGACTTGTGTATTCTGCTGTAGCAAGCTCAGCTTCTTTGCAGAAGCTAACATCTGGGCAAAGATTAAAAGAAATACCAGTTTCAATTAGTGTATTATTTTTAGACCCAACACAAATTGTCACTGACAGAACTAGGCCTTAAATGCTACATGGGAATTAGCTTTGCTAAAAATTCAGCAACAGAACAGAACTGAGCAGAGGACCCACAGGTCATCTGTGAAATACTAAGCTTGGTGAAATCAGTATTTTAGCTGTGACCCAAATAATGAAGTATATAGTGTTATTTCTTAATTGGTGCTGTACCACGTAACAAGCAGAAGGTTATGCAAAACAAGCAGCAGCTTCTAAAGCAACAGAGATACTTATTATGAGTTCTAATCACTAAAGAAAACATCTTTTGTAAAGGTTTAAATATAACTCTCTTGCTTTTCAAATCTTCTGATGAGCTAGCTATTACTAATGTCGAAAGGTGATGCTTGTCAGCCAAGAACTACATTAGAGTCCATAATTGAATTTCAAGAGTTGTCAAGAGCAGGCTAATAAAATAGCTGCTACTAGAAGTGATGTATGAAGGAAAAAAAAAGTAAGTTCTGGTCTGGCAGGATGCAAAGTATGTTGTGTGGTTTCCCTATGTCATTTCAAATAATATGTTCAATTTTTCTGGGCTACATTTGTCTGACATTCTTCTCTTATATAATAATGATTCATTATCTGTAATTTATTCAAGGACTGTAACTCACCTCTTAAGTGCCTATAAATATTACTGCAGCTAGACATTTGCATTGTAAAACAAATGTGTAACACTGGGATTTATGAAGAATTCTTTTACGTTAGTTCCTTGACAGGAAAGATAGATTTTTCTTCTGAAGTAAAACATTGACCTTAAAATCATCTTAAAAGTCTAGCACAGGAACCAATTAACAGCTCTTCCTTCCCTGTGTTGTTTAGGTAATTTGACCATTTTGGGGAGGGCTGGGCGGTGAAGTATTCCTTGGCCATTCAAAATGGATACAGCTATACTGTTGTTACATCAGTATTACTGGGAATGTTCCCATGGTTATGATGGTAACATATAACACCTACCCTCCCACTGCTTTACAAAAGCATGAGCCATTTCTGAGTGGAGCTCTTAGAGGTGGTGGAAGGCAGGCAGATGACATTGCTATGAGGAACGGTGAAAGAAAAACACAGTCCCAGCTGGAACAAGGGCTGCACATTGTGTCACTGCACCAAGTGGTGTTAATGAAAGGGTGTGGGATGCTGGCATCCTTTATTGCCCCTGGTAAATTGGTATGTAGATATGTAGCAATTCTTCTAAAAACAGGGGAGAAATCCAGTGCAAGCTGACAACATTCATCCAGGGCACACCAAGTCATGAGAAGCTGGTACTGTAGTGATGTCCTGACCTGTCTTGCTGCCACCCTCACTGGGCAGAGTTGTTCAGTCTAGGAAAGAGACCGAAAGGAATGTACTTTGTTCTCTTTCTGCGGTGATGAGAATTAGAAGTAATGAGCTTAAGTTGCAGGAAGGAACAGTTATGTCAAACAGTAGGAAAACATTTCTAATAGGATGGCAAAGAATTGTAATGGTACACGCAGGGAGGCCATGACATCTCCGGTGCTGCTCTCCAGCCAAACCTTTGAAGACAGGTTAGAAAAATGTCTATGAGAGATAACACAGGCATAATTACTGCAAGAATAATTCAGTGCCCATGCTCAGCTATCTCTCCAGCCTAACTGTGTTCAGCCACCATGTCCTGCTCTGGCATCTGCCTACTCTTCCAGTTGCAGCCTCACATCAGTACCACCTTGTCCTGGCCAGTAAGAACTGCCACAGGCCAGATGTTCCTGCTTAGGGCAGCGCAGTGGACAAACTGGTCTTCCCAGGCTGCTGCCAGCTCTGTTCTTCTACGATTTCTCTAATTTACTTCAGGAAATCTTAATCCTTTTCCTGTGTTGATCCCCTGCTAAGGGTGGATCTGCTCTCAGCCTACTGATCATTAAATCCATGGCCCTCAATATAGTAGTTTTAGCAGTGTTCAGGCCATGTGATGGGCTGTAGGCCAAAAACACAGTAATGCAAGCAGTCTCCCCGAATAGTGCTGAACAAAGAGGAGATCAAGATCCCTCAACCCTCAGTTAAATATACAGTGGTTGCTCATGACACCAGGTAGTGCAAACAGGAAGGCTGTCCTGAATTAATTTCTCCTGCCTGCTATTCTCTGCCTGCTCTCTGGCAAGTCATTTATTTTCTCCTCAAGTTTTTTTGTTCCCCTTTTGCAGGATGGGATAAACAAGCTTCCTAATTGCACCAGGACACTGTGAGAACAGACAGGATCAGGTACTACCTTTGCCCGTATATAGTTTTACCTTTAGCTGCTCTCAAAGGAAATATGAGTGCAGCTACATTCTTGGTTTCATACTTATTTACACAGGGTTTTAGCAGAGCATGCATCTTAACACCATGTAACACTCCTCATGTCTTACATGGAATCCATCCTTTAACTCCGATTTGCTGCTACTGTACAACCTACAAAACAACAATAACAATAACACCTGCAGGTTAGCAAAATGTTTTATTATACTGAAACATACTGTACATAGATGAAAGCCAATGCTTAAGTTTTATGTGTCCCATCACACTAAAATACCTTTATTATATTTTCCATTGGCTTAAAAAAGAAATACTAATAGAGATAATTTCATTATTAAATATACATATATATAAAATGCTTTCTATTTATTTTGTTCTATATTAGAAAGGCAAATTTGGGGATAGTGATATGGCTTAAATATATTAATATTTTCCCTCTGGGGAGCTTGTCTTCACATCTGGATAGAGCACTTGCGGAATGAGTTCAGGAATCTCTTTCTACATGACAGCAGGTATCTAGCTACATTAGATGTAAATTCAGCATGTTTAACCAGAGTGCCTGAGGTAAGGAAGAAGAAGGGTAGTCTGGGATGCCTGTTCTACCATGTTTTTCTTTTCCTGCATATTAAAATTTCTTCAGAATATTTTCTTTTTATTTTTTCCTCTGGATAATCCCAAGTTTGTCCTCCCTTGTTTTAACCATTGCCATAGTAATGAACAGACCACTGTTTTATCAAAAAACCTCATTTTAGCTTAGTGGAATTAATCACCGTGGCTGCTGCTTTAAGTTCTGGGAAAAGGGAAGGAGAGAGAGAGAGTTAGTGATGCCAGACAGCAATTCAGAGCTCCTCCGTTAGGACACCTGCACTGAATCACCTCCTGGAGAAATCTCTTTCTCTCCACTAACTAGTGGAAGCCCAGGGAGACTTGGCTGGAAAAAATTAGCCCTTGTTAATCTTGAGTGGGTTCACAAGAGTCCTACAGCATCCAAACCTCCTACACACTGCAACCTCCGCATATGCCTGGAGCTGAACTCTTAGCCATCTTCAGTCATTTCCTATTCTCCCCAGGGGCCAGAGATGCATAGCGTCTAGTGTTTGCAGTCCTACAAGTTCTCTTACAAGTTGGCATTTGCGCAACAACAAAGGCAGCAGATTGTCAGGCTTAGCTGGGATTTCAGTGTTTCTCTGAACTATAGAGGAACCGTTACCTATACTTAACAGTTCCTGCTTATAAATTACTGAAATACCAGTCAGGGAGGAAAGGGCTGCTATAAGAATGCACAGGATAAAAGGAAAGTGACCTTTCCAGTGGGCTGAAATAGACTGTCTAAAATGACAGGAACAGCATCCTGTCCTGCCTCAGACCATTTGCTGGACACTATTCACAGTTGCCATGTGTGCAACAAGCTTACCATTTTCAATCAGGACTAACTGGCTGAAACTGTACTATGTTGATACTAAAATAGTAGTAGACAATCTGTAGTGCTAGGTCCTTATCCACGTTCCCTGTAAAATCCTGAAAATCTAAGGCAACATTATACCACAACTGCACTGTTTTGAAAACGTGATGTCGAGCCTCTGCTATTCGAACTTGCTGCTCTCTATATCATGGTACACAAATGAGCACTGTGACGGTAAAGACATCTGGTCAACTCTTGCTACCATCAGTTGAGCTCACTGGGAGTTTGGTAAATACATATGTTCAAAAAAGACTTGTATCTTGGTTGTTGATAGATTCATTTTCCTGGATATACTGGAGAATGTCCACTTCATTCATTGTCTGAATCCTGTTTTCCTTTGGCTTTGCCAGTGGAGAATTACTGCTCCTGGGGGCAACTGCTGGCTTCTGAGGCAGTGGTGGTTTTGATGGTACTTTAGGTTTTGGTTTGGAGGTTACTTTCAAGACTTGCTCTAAATCATCTTCAACTCTGAATGAAAAGAAAACATCAGTAACATCTTAGGAATTTCTGAACTGCTTTTTGTTTTGTAAGAAAATGCAATCTTGCACGATAAAACTTTCTGCAAGAAAGGATCAATGTTGATGAATTTTCTTTTATGAAGAGCCTTCCATGAAAGTTTCAATGTTGCCAAAATAAGAACTGTGTTTTTATAATGTGGTTTTTCAGTTCACCGTACAAGTTAATTATTTTTACAGCATATTTTCAAATGTCTAAATTAAAAGCAATTATCAAAAGAAAAAGAACTTGATTTTAGCTTGGGAAAAAAATGCTTTTGATTTGTGAGGGGATGATTTGCTTCCCAGAAATTTTCATGGGATAGTATAATTTTTCACATTCAGCTCTGCTTCCTCTTCATCCCCCAAGACTGAGATTGAGCATCCCCCATGCTCAATCACGAGAAACTGGAAAAACTAATGGCTTAAAAATATTGTGTTCACATTTGCTTCCAAGAAACTGAAGAAGTTTTACAATCTGTGACCATATACAACAACTCTTTTGGTGACCATTTCCCCCTATTACTTGGTGAAATAACCCAAAACACCTGAAACAGTTAAGGATGTTTTCTACCTGCATTGTTTGACCTTATCAAGAGACACAGCATGCTGTGCATGCCCAACTCTGTTCCCACAGGAGCTGTTAAAGATTTTGAGAGCGCCCTTATAACATTGTCTTGTGACTCCAAGAGGTGTCTGCCTTTGGAAAGTGAATATGTGGAGGAAAGGGAAAGAAGGTTGTGACACATCACATCTCTAAAAGAGCAGAGATGGTAAAGTAAAAATTAGCATAGCTAGAGAAGTCTTTACAGGTCACAGTAATTTCTGCTCTGAATCAAAATAGCCTCTTGTTTTGGTCCTCTGATCACAGCGCTCAAACAAAACACTATAAGGCATAAACACAGTTGTTAATTTCCCAGAGGCTTGATTGATAAATAATTGTTAAGCAGTCAAAACCCAACCACCAATCCATGCAGGCAGTCAGCTGTGTAATGACCAGCTACAAAAGTGAAGCCTCTGATAAAATGCATACCTCATATATGCTTACAAAATACATGACTTGCAAAAGGCTCCACCTCTAACTGTAGCATACAAAATCAATAAAGCTAAAGCATAAGAAGAGCAAGCAAAAACTTTACATGACGGACCAGGAGCCAAAGATCAAGAGGAACAGTAGGTTTGTAATATGTGGGTATCTCCTTGCCAGACCCCAGCTCTAGTGTGATAGGCTTACCCTACAACCATATTGTCTTAGGCAGTGAAATGACTTAACGATTTAATTGTTTACAAGCACTGTTATAAGCTGTTTTTACCAAACTTTAGTATCAACTCCATCAGCCCATAGGCTGTAATAGTGCCAGCAGTAAAACTCCCTCTGCCTCAGCCAAAGGGTAGCCTGACAGGGAAGCTACAAATGAATAGGAGACGAAATTAAGGTGCAGGAGTTATTCCAAAGGGATGGGTATTTTCTTCAGTGCTAAAATTCCCTTAAAATAGTTTTACTTAGTTCACTCTTAGAAAACTTGTGAGGTAAGAAAGTCTGGTCAAGTGATTCTTAAACAAGAAAGGAATTGGCAGCACATGTGCAGCCCATCGTCTCCCTCTGTCTCTGCTAGAGCACTACGTCAAGAGGTGGCACAGTCCCTCCATCCAGGAGGATGAGCTGCATGCTCACTGGAACAGGACACCACACAGGGAGTCTAAGGAAGGTGCCTTTTTAGTTTCTACAAGCCCCATAGGTAGGCAGTCCCTGGAGCATCGATCAGTTTCACTTTATTTCATGTCAGGTATTTTTTGGTCCTTCCACTCATTTGTCTTTTGTAATTCCTATCTTCCTCACTGCCAGGCAATGAGGCTGTCTTGGCAGGGTTATCCAGACCCCTGCGAAGCCACTGGGATAACTTCTGTTGACTAAATGGGACTGTGATTTCTCCCTTTCTTTGTTCACTGGTAGCCTTAGGAGAGATACTGTAAATGCCTCTACCACATGGCAGAACAATTGGTGGGGCCTTCTGCAGTTAACGTAGGCAGTTAAAGCAAAGCTGAGCTCTTCCATAATTTGGGAAGCAACTGATTAGGGTAACGGGGCAGGACCATGGGGAACATGACCAACAGAAGAATCAACGTCTCTGAGACACTTTATTACTCCATCCCTAGTGCACACTGTTTGAATGTTAAAATCACAGGTACTTCAAGAGCTCCAGCACCATCAGCTAAGGATCCCACTATTATTGAGAAAGACCTGCATGATTTCGAGGGTTTCTTTTTTATGTTCACCTTTATTAAAAGCTCTGAGGAACTTACGACTGTACTGCCCAGGCTGAGACAAACTACACTCACCATGAATTGGCCATAAAGTAAACAAGGATTAGCCTGAATTTTCTGCTGTTTAGATGGTCAGAACCCTTTAAGATAAAACCATTCTTGAAGTCAGATCTTTTTGTGACTCCCAAAGGGAATCTAAAAAGGATCAGTTTTAACCAAGGCTAATCTTGTAAAATCAACTGCCTGAACATTGATATCTAAAACTAGAAAATACCTAAACAGACCAACTAATGGACAGAGCGGGGCCACTGTCCCACAGCTCTGAACCTTGATCTCTACCTTGTGGACTTGTATTCCAGCAGGCAGCTCCTCAAATTTCACCCTCCCAGTAATTCTGGAGATTATATTCTCTTTTATTTAGACAAGATTTCTGATGTCTTTTAGTTTCCATGATTCCCTGTGGGTGACATATCCCACCTAACTTAGAAAGCACCTTGTCAGTGTATTTCTTCTTCCTGAATTCCTCATCTACATAGAAGAAATTAATTTAATTTAAGCCCAGGCATTTTTGTTTGCTGCAAACTCTGATATCCAAGAGATACCACACCTGTGATCACATTGCCAAGACATGTTCTTGCTCTCTTTGCTGTGTAATAAACAAAACATGTTAGGGCTGGTATTTCTGAAGACTAGCTTTCTTCAGCTGATCTGATGCCTCCTTTCTTGGCATAAACAAATACTGAATGAATCAGTGTCCATGTCATAAAGTTTTGGTCATAAATATCAGAAACCATAATAACCAGATGAACAATATATACATATACATACAGCTACATGGAGGAAGCATGATTTTGAACTAGGTGCACTGCCTGAGAACTAGCTGCCATGCCCAGAAGGGGCAGCAGTAAATACAACTCATTAACCTGATCAGATGGAACAGCTTCCTGAATTCTCTATTCCTGTGTGGATCTATATTAATTTCTGTGCTAACCACAGCAACAAAACCACTCAGCACAGTCATAAAATACCCCCAAAAGATGCAGTCCAGTAGGTTGTGGGGTTTTTTTGGGGGGTGGGGGGTTTTTTTGGTAGTGTGCTTTTATGCCAAAAATTCTGCAGGAGGTGATTTTTCAAAGTCTGGAAGCTAATCATGTAAATCTCCTTTTTTTTTATACTGGATTTTTTCAAGACCTTGGTTAGACAGAAGTCTTTTACAGAGAACACAGGAGATAATATGTGGTCTTTGTCTCAAAACCTGCTTTTCAGTGCTGCAGTGCTAGGCAAACTGTTTGATCCACTGCTGTTTGATCATGTGAGACACAACTGTCTTTGGAAAACTAAAGAGGTAAAATGCAAAATGCCTCAGGGAGAGATAGAAACAAGGACTTCTATTTCTTGAGAGGCAAATGAATTGTTACAGTGCATAACTACCACCATATTTAACTCCAGGCCAGGAGGAGGAAGAAAAAAATCAAGCAACTATTCTGAAATAACAAGATTAAAGGAAGAACCTTCCCACCCCCATCTTTTTATAGACAATCAGGCACAGAATCCATGTAATTAATCATTCTCTAATTAGTCTCTTTCTTTTTCTGTAATGGAAAAGCAGCGCCACATTGTTTAAAATTCCTGCCATACTGTTGTGCTGATTCACAGACTCTATTGGTGGAAATTCTCTTTGTTTCCAGACACAGAAAGCAATCAAAACCCTTACTGAAGAAAGGCTGTCACAAAGGCCTATATATGACTGCTAGCATGTGGACCTCAAGACAGTAAACAAGTTCTGACTTGGAGACAGACGCAGCTGCCATCAGAACATCAACATTTTAGATGCCACTTCTCTGAATGCTGTCCTGTCTATCCGGGCAAGATCTTTGGGACAGGAATGACTATATGCGTGTACAGCATCTAGCATGATGGGGACAGTGACCTCTGCTTGCTCGGAATGCTCTAATGAGGAGAATCAGTAATGAAAGCAAGAGACGAAGACTCCCATAATTTGCTAAAGTATCGAAAAGGATCATGCCTGAAGCTGGGTTACGCAACTCACAGCAGTTCTTGCAGAATAGACTTTTATCTTCCCCTATCTTATTATCGGTGTCTTTATTTTGTCTGGTGTTAATTCCAAGTATGAGAGATACCTTAGTGAAACCTTGGGGAGAGGTGTGATATCACGTACATGACTTGGGAAAAGACTTGTGCCCCAAAATAGGCAGGAGGCTTCGAAGTATCTGTTGACCATCACTTCTGCTATGGTCAGTAGAGACAGTGTGATGTCTAACAAGGCCCGTGGAAATTATACAGGCTGGAGTTAACCACAAGAGTGCAAAGCTGTGTAGGAGGTATCTCCCCTCCTGCTCCTGCTTTCCCCTGCAATCCATTACAGGTAAATTCATACTGGTACTTTAACCAGTGCCAGGAAATATGTCTGGACACTGGAACATGAGAGTCTGTACTGTTGAAATGCTAGAAGAACCACCGGCACAGCTTTGGTCTGGGACAGATTAGCCCTCCTCCAAAAAACTCCCAGGCACAACTCGGAGCTGGCGCAGGACAGGGACCATTCCCAGCAGGCGGCTGCGTACAGTCACCTTGTTCTGCAGCTGGAGAGAGTCTAATGGCATGGATGCAGCCCAGTGGTACCGTCTGGCCAAGGGCCAGAGAATAGGCTCATTAGTACAGGTAAGTCCTACATGCATATGGCCACAA